CGAAATACGCCGTCGAGAAGTACCTTTTACAGAGTTGTGAATGATTTCACCAACACTGGAAATGTGGAATCAAGAAAAAGAACTCGGCGAGCAACAGTAACTACGGAAGAAAAGGAAATTGCGGTATTACCTAGCGTTGAGGTAAATCCTTAAGTTAGCACTCGATGACTTGCAATTGACGCCGGAATATCGAAGACCAGCATTTTAAGAACATTAAAGCGCAACAAGTATCACCCATATCACATTTCATTGCATCAACAGCTTTATGGAGGTGATTTTGAAAATCGATTAATATTTTGTCAATGAGCACAAGAACGAATGCGGTTGGACGTCAATTACTTTGGTAACGTGCTATTCTCGGATGAGTCTACTTTTACAAACAAAGGACAAGTCAATAGACATAACATGCACTATTGGAGCGTTGAAAATCCGAGATGGTTCCGTAAAGTAGAACATCAACGACCTTGGTCGATAATGTTTGGTGTGGCATAATTGGTGATAAATTGATCGGTCCATACTTTATTGATGGTTTGCTGAATGGGAAGAAGTACCGCCATATTTTAGATGACGCCTTACCAACGTTACTTGTAAATTTGAACAGGGAAGAAAGACAAAATATGTGGCTGCAAAATGATGGGTGTCCAGCACATTTTTCACATATTGCACGTGAAGCTTTAGATCGGGATTATGCTGGGCGATGGATTGGAAGGGGAGGTCCAATTTCCTGACCTGCCAGATCACCTGATTTAACACCTCTTGATTTTTTTTTGTGGGGCGTCCTTAAGGATAATGTTTNAGTTTTAGTAGAAGGGTTAATAAATGTATTGAAATGGGTGGGGAAATATTTGAACCTGTATAATCTAATATACAGCTTGGCATATTCGTCTTGACCAGTCAGTTGCGCAGAAGAAGGAGCGCAGCAATAAATCGTTGAAGTGATAGGCAATCTTATGACAAGGCGATATTACAGCTTCGTAAAAATACACAATAATATAAACTTAAGCCATTTGAAGATTATAAATTTTATTATAGTAACTCTATAGTAATTTTAGCTGTGTTTTAGCCGAGATCATTTGCTGGCGAGATGCTAGATCTGATACGGTATGAATACAAACTTGAACTCAATGCGATTTTACTATCCTTTTCTTTCCAACACATTACATGAATTTATGGAATTTATTGGATTCTGCATTGATTCACAATAAGTGGAAGTTCACTATAAACGGGTTCATTATAAGTGGACAATACATGTGTTTGATAAAATATGATCTAAAACGAAATAAATGATTTATTACAGATTTAAAACAATTAATGTATAAAAAAACGAAATTAAACAGTTTCAAAACGAAAATCCTTCAAAATAAAATGTATAATAAACATGCAAAAAAGAAATACAAGAAATTATAAAAACCATACAAAAACAATATGTAAAAATCACTTAAACTCAAAATCGACGTCATGATTATGTTATTGAAATGCAAATACTATGCAGATAACACACTTTTTAATATTAAGAATAAATTTGCATAGTAAACGTATACAATTTATAACAAAAACCTTCAGTTTCAATAGAATTTATACTAAAAATGACGCGACTTTCTAAGAACAGTGCAAACATTTTACTGTTTTATATCATACTATTAAAAATAAGTTTCGGAAACTGTAATCAACCACCAATAATAATCGCCGAAGGAAATCCGATTCTAAAATTCAATCTAAACCCAGGTATGAATAATATAATTTAAATTTATAACTGTTTTTTACCAATAATCTAAATTACTTTTAATTTTTTTAACAATTTTTTCTAATCGAGCCATCCCCACAAAATCATCAAAATTCTTTTCATCATCCAAATTAAAATCACCACCAAAACCCCAATCTTCTTTTATCATATCACTCGCTTTTTCAGCAATCATTATTGTAGGTGCATTCGTATTTCCGGTCACCACTTTAGGCATAATTGATGCATCCACAACTCTTAAATTGTTCACACCTCTTACACTTAATCTCGGTGTAAGGACAGCCATTTCATCGTTATCCGGTCCCATTTTCACCGTTCCACTTGGATGATAAATAGTCATTGTATATTTTCGTGCTAAACATCTTAAATATAAATCGGAACGGGTATCATCCGTCGGGCATCCAGGGATAGGATTTGGATTGAGTTCAACGTTTAATTCTTGCATAATATTTGTGTTTAAAACAATTTTTAATGCTTCTTTTGCACCTTCGACGAGTATTTCTAAATCACGTTCGGAAGCGAAATAATTCGGATAAATTAATGGGTGAGAATTTGGGTTTTTGTTGTATAGTAAAATTTCTCCGGTACTTTGTGGGCGCATCAACAATGGGATGATCTAATGAAATAATTAAATTATTATTTAATTAATAAAAATAATAAAAATTGTAATTACAGTAAAAGTTTTTTTATCAAAAATCGGTTCAAACATAGCTTTATAAACATCGTCTCTGTATCCTTCCATTCGTTTTATAAATAAGCCTCCATCTGAATTATCACCGAAAGCACCAAAAAATAATTGTATATCCGGTTTATCTACAGTTGGATCTGAAAATTTTGTGTGTAAAAATCCCATTGCTTCGCAGGGTGCCATCCAATAAGCAGGACCACGGTGATCACGAATAAAACTATCAACTGATTCTGTATTTAATACTTCAAGAATTGTGGGATAAGAAATATTTTTGTTGATAATAAATGTTAGGCCACCTATCGCGACGTGATCTTGCAAATTTTTTCCAACTCCCAAACTAGACACAATCGGTTTAATTCCAACGGATTGAAGATGTTGAGGTGGTCCTATTCCTGATAACATTAATAATTGAGGAGATTGCACAGATCCTGCTGATAAAATGACTTCTCTTGAGACGAATATTTCTCGTGTTATTCCAAATTTATTTAATAATACGCCATAAGCTTGTTTTGTTGATTCATCTATTAATATTTTTTCAACCATTGAGTTTAAGGTGACATGGAGATTTTTTCTATTCTTTATGGGTCTTAAAAAAGATTTTGCTGTGCTACAGCGTAATCCATTTCTTAAAGTGCCTAAAAAATATATTTAATAATATACAGTTGTTCACAAAATTGAGTATACAGGGGAATGGAAGATAGATAATTGTGAATATTTAAAATAATTATTAATTTATTTTAAAAGTTTGTGATGTATATAGGGGGTGATTTATTAACTCACCATCAAATGACATCAAAAATCAAACTTTGACATATGATAGCTAATCCAATTACCAAAAAAAAATGTTAATGTTATAACACTTTAAAGTTTTCTGCAGCGAATTTATTAATAGTCAGTAAAATCAAATATTCAACAAAAACAAAGTTGTCATTGTAATATGTCAGTTTGCTGTAAGGTTTAAGTATTACATAATTAAATGCAGGCAAATGGTTGTTTCAGGTAAATAGCTTTTTCTTAGTGAGATACTATCTGTCTAGGCAGATAGTTTTATTCCATTTATTTCAGTCTAATTTCTACTTTCCTAGGTAAATATGGCTAAAATATTTTCAAGCAAATAACTCTTTAAACCAACCCAACCCCAGGAATGCTTTATTTCTTTAAGAGAGGCCTACACTTCACAGTCACTGATTTTTGAGTAAGAGATGTTAAAATACCAGTGCCAGCCTTCGATATTTCAGTGCACTACAAAAAGGTGTACTTGTTTCAAAAATAAGATGATGTGCAATAGTAGATGCCATTCCAGCAACAATTGTCAAAACAAGTAAATTTTTGTATTTAGTATTTAAGTCTTCAAGAAATAAATCGTTTATTTGTATTTTTATTAAACTTAATAGAAGTATATGAAACTGTTATGCATTTTTTGAAAATGATACGCAAATAATTTGACTCGTTTGACACTCATTAGTAACTTTAATTTAAGAAAACTAGATTGATAACGATAGGAACTACTTTATTTTATTGTGAACAGGTACCTACTCTATGTTGCATTGTTGTATCGAAAAAATGGTATTTTCCAAGGACAGTAGAATCTAACAGGACTGCTACATCCATTGTATTTTTGTAGTCCACTAGGGGTTGGTTGCCCGCACTCTACGTCACACTATTTGCCACGCCTGGTAACTGTCTCTGTTTTTAGAGGTTATATGATAGACATTAATACGTCTAAAAACATAAAACTTCAAAAATAATATGAATACGTCTACGATATAACCTCTAAAAAACATAGCAAAAGCATAAACCATAACAACAGCTTGGCGTGGAAAATGGTGTGACGTAGTTTGCGGGCAGGTTGTCATAACAATGGATGTAGCAGTCCTGTTAGATTCTACTGTGCTTTGGTATTTGCCTGAAACAAACTTAAACAGATACTATTTGTCTTGTCCAATAGTATTTGCCTAGACATTTAATGATAAAACTGTAACGAACTACTGTTTGCCTAGACAGACAGTTCTGACTAGGAAAAAGCTATCTACCTGAAATAACCATTTGCCTGCGACCAGTGATGGGCGCTGGGTAAATGGTTAAGTTGGATTTCCAGCTCTAATGAAACACAATGAATGATGCGTAAACAGGTTACAACCTGAATAAAAGAAGAAGAATAATAAGATCTTAAACGAACTACTTAATTTAAAATTGGAAATCAACAATCTCATGGAACTTGGAATCTTGGATTTGATGGAAGTGCAATATGACTAGAAAAGAATCAAACAACAAGAATTAATGAAGCATAAAAACTGAATTTAGTCATTAATATTAGACTTATACTCAATTCAGGACATTCAAAGTTGTTTTTCAAGCATTAAAGAAATCGTTAAATATTTTCGAAGAGTATTACGTAAACGAGAATGGTCGGTAGTGAAAATATAAACTTTCCCGAAATATATGTACACTTTAAAGCTAATAACACCAGGAATGTGTATAAATTTGTTAGACAGTTAAGATAAAGGCACAAATCGCACACAGCTCTATGCTGAGATGGAACAGGAAAAATAATATGTGATAGTGAAATGAATGACATTTGAAAAAATTATTTCCAAAACCTATTAAGCATAGAGAAACTGATTTGGAAACAGACAGCAGTCCGTCACACCATAGAAAGGATAGTGTCATGGCACCTATATCAATCAGTGAGGTTCAAAACGCAATCTCTGCGGCAAAATATGGAAAGGCATCAGAGATTAATAACATACCATCGAAAGTATTCTAGATGGAATATTCATCATCACCAATATTGATGTTACAGCTTGGAACAAGATTTGTCCTAAATTTTGTTGATATTTAGCCCAACTCTTGCACACGCCTCCTGTATACGTTCAGCATCAGTCTCATCTCTCCAAGGATACCGAAATAAGGACCATATCGTCCGCGTAGCGCAAATTACTTAGGTATTGCCATCAATTTTTATACCTTTTTGAGTCCAATCCAGTTATTTAAATGCACTCTCCAGGACTGTGATAAACAATTTGGGTTCAACATTATATCGCCTTGCCTTACCCCACGCTCATTGTAGCATTCTTGTAAATGTTATAAATAAGTTTGGTGTATCGATAATGGACTCTGTATTCTTGAAGTACTTGCAAAACTGCCATCAACTCAATTTAAATCAAATTTTATAAATACCTCTAAATACCCATCTTGGGTAAATACCCCAGGGTATATATCCAGGGAATTTTCCCTTGAAATTAAATACCCGGGTATTTAACAACACTGCCTGCGACACATACAAGAAGAAACTCAAAACGTAGGCTTATAGCACTGAAGAGTATGCTAATATAATTTTGGTGTATGGTTTTTGCAATGAATGCTCGACAATCGGTACGAGAATATCAAGAAAGATTTCCACGTCATTTGCCATATTCAGTGATGTAAAATTACGGTAATTTATAATTTGTGTAAATTACTATTGTAAATTATTGTTATTTTTTCTCAAAATTTATTCTCGCGTAATTTAATAATTTTGTTGATAAATTACTATGGTAACCTTTTTATTATTTTGATTCAGGGACAGTAGAATCTAACTTGATTTTGATTTAATAAAACCTTTATACAAACTGTAAAAGAACATTTAAAATAAACTATGTAACAAAAACTCTAAAAATGAAACAAAATATGAATTCTATGTAATTCAAACACATAATTCAGAAAAGCTTTTTTCTGTTGTGCACGTTGTTGGTGAGCAATTTAAGATTTCTGTTGCTACTTTGCTTAATGATGTAGTACAACAAAAAGACTTCCATAATATAACAGTTAACAGGTAATTTACAAGGTAATTTACAAATTCACATCACTGGTCATATTATTCAGTTTTTAGCGATTCTTTCAGAAGACTTCGAGAAACAGGTAATCCTGCTCCAGCAAAACCTATTCGACCAGATGTAGGAAGTGGAAGAGTAGTTATCGAGTGGTTAAACCAATATGTTCCAAACAAGTGGATTGGTAATAATGGTAATATTAATATTAGATATCATATGTCAAAGTTTGATGGTGAGCTAATAAATCACCCTGTATATTAACAACAATCTTATTAACTAAATTGAATACAAAATAATTCAGTTTTCAAATAAAATAATCCCAATATTAACAATAATAACAAATGATACGAAATCCACACCACAAAATTGAGTATACAGTTAAGCAAATGTGATTAAGTTTAGGTTGGTTTATGGTTTAATACGCTGTAGGCCCTCCATTGGCGTCAATTATCGCCTGCATTCGCCCTGGCATGGAGTCCACTAACTTTTTCACTCATTAGTAACTTTAATTTAAGAAAACTAGATTGATAACGATAGGAACTACTTTATTTTATTGTGAACAGGTACCTACTCTATGTTGCATTG